TCTCCTTGTCTCTCCTTGTCTCTCCTTTTCTCTCCTTTTTTCTCCTTGTCTCTCCTTTTTTCTCCTTGTCTCTCCTTGTCTCTCCTTGTCTCTCCTTGTCTCTCCTGCTCTCCCCTTTTTTCTTTCCCTTCCCCTTTTTTTTTTTAATTTATTTTTTATTCTTGTTCCTTGTCTTTCTCTCCAAGGAGAAACCCTTCCCTCTCTTTTGCTCCTTCTGCCTTATGCTTTCCATCCCTCCCCTTTGTTTTTACTTCTTCTGATTTAGAAGAAAATCAGGAATTTATTCCACAGAACTGTGAAATCAATAGTATTCATATTGGAGAAGAAATTCAGTAAAAATTAAAAAGGGTAGGAAATTCAGAATTTTACTGAGTATTACATTTCTGAATATTGTGTACTGTATTATCTGTTTTGATAAAATGACCTGATTCAGATATTCTGTGCTGATCAAATACAAATCATTTTCTTGAATATGATACATGTTGTCATTGGCAGAAAAAAGAGTTGTCTTTTGTCAAGGAAAGTGTAAATGCCAAAATAAAAGTTTAACAATCTTAAGTTGATTTTAGCTAAACAGGTAGGCAGCATTTTCCAGAAGATGGCACTCTCTTTCCACAAATGCAATGTTTGAGTTTCATGGCTTAAAAGGATGCTCTTCCCCAGACTATGTGAATGGTGTTTCTTAAAACATAAAGCTAACTTGAGTCTGCCTGTGCTTACTTTTTGCATTTATATGCCATTGCATTATAAAATTGCTTTATTTGCTTAGCTTTTCATTGCAAATTTGAATAATCATACATTATTTCTTCATTTTAAATTTAAGCAATGCATGTTCATGAGATTTAAAGTACTTAGTACTTTAATTTCCACTTCTCATAACTTTTAAAAAAATCTCAGGTTCAGAAGCTTTTTTGTCTTTCTGGAGAAGAAAGCAGGGAAAAAAATACAAGAAAAAAAGATTCAAGGAAAAAAATCCCAGGCTGCAATCTGCAATATAGTCAAAATTATATTTAGAAACTGGATTGTTGATGGTCTTTTAATTGGGTACTCAAACTATTTCTGTACTCTTGATTTATACAGTTTTCTTGATACATGTTTCTCCCTAATTGTCACTGGCAGAGTGACTGACAAAATAAGTTATCCTGATGTTTTGAATGACTGAGAATGATGCCATTCCTTTTTTCTCATCCTACCTTAGCAAAACTGTAAATAGGAAACCTGTGTTGAAGCATAAATTATTTTTTTCCTGGCTTTTTCTCATATGAAAGTAAAAACAAGCAGGAAGAATCCCATTTATAAAACTGGCAACACAGCTTTGATTTGCTTTCCCAGTCGCAATCATTCTATTTGCTGAAGATAAATATACTATGAAAGGCAACAAAACCGCCTTTTTCTTGACAACATATAGTTAAATGGTTGTTTGTGCATTAAAAACTCTTTCATAAAACCAATTAGGAACTATGTTTGTGTGCTGACAGCTGAATTGTCTGTGTATAGATGAAAAGTATATGCAGTTTGTTGTGGGTTGGTATGATGCAAGAGGCAAGCGACAGAAGGTGAATGTATTTCATGTGCAAAGGAACACTATGATTATTGTATTAGGGAAGTGCACCCCCATGAAGATCAATTAGATAAGCACACAGTTCTGGTTTTTTTCAGTAGATTGGAAGTATATATGCAAAGTGAGCAGATGGATTAAAACAAAACCGAATGCACATTGCAAATAATTTCAAAATGTTATCTCCAAACTGAAGATGAGAAGCAGTCATCTGCCAATCTGCATTGGTACCCTGTGAGGAGTTTGTACCTTTTGCACCTCTGGGCTTTACACAGAGATCTGGCCTGTGTCTCCTTGTACTGTGAGACTGTGTTGTTCTGCACACCCTGTCAGGGACTTCCCTGAGCGGGTCATTCTAGATTCATAATGGTTCTGACAAAACTCTTCCTAGGGGAAATAGTCAGCAGTTCTTGTGAGCCCTCAGTAGGCTGAAATTCTCCCCACAAATCTCTTTGGAGTTTCTTATGTTGGATATACCCATGCTTTTGTTTTGATCCTGGATACCTCTGTTTCCACCTCAGCCATGGCCATTCTGGTCCCATTCCAATTCTGGGGAAATGCATTCTGATTTAGGTGGTAGAGGAGATGCTATGGCAGAACCTGTATTTCTAGACTTTGGGAAACAGAGCAGGGGATTGGTATTAATCACTCCCCATTTCCCTTGCCAGGACTTTGTCACTATAGAACTTTATGTATTGCAACATGGGTGGGTTTCAGTCAGTTCATAGTTAGTGTACTGGCATGGAAGTGAACTACAATAAATTCAATCACAGCCAAATGCAAACCCATACTGGAACTGACTAGAAGCATTTGTTTGGTTTGATTTCCTCATTCTAAATCTGCACAATTTCCTACTTTTCAATGTGTGAATTTGCCCCCCAAGCCCCCTACTTGGTGAACAAGATTAAAAAATTTAATGATTGGTCATAAGGCATATTAAATGCCAGAACCTGATGTATACCAACTGTATTTCTTTAAAGGTTCTTAGCTTGGTAACCTTTAGGTATTTTGAAATTTTGTATTATTTGAGATAACTTTTATCTTCTGCAGTAGATTTTCTAAGCATTTACATTAATTTAGTTTGAGAAGTTAATTTGGAAAGCAATAGAAAGACTTTGGAAAGCACTGTACGTCTTAATATATATTTTGTCATCTGTACAGTGCACATATATGTAAGAAACCCAGTGTTTACCCAACAATGTGTCTTGACAGGTGTTATTCAGGTGCTGTTGTAAAAAGAAATAAAAAGACAATTTCTTATCTCCTCAAAACAGGTAGAACTTTTTATGTGTTGCTGGCAAAATTCTTTAAATGTATTTAGTATTTAAAGGTATTCTCTGATCCTAAGAATACCTTTATTTAGATCACATTACTAGTTAGTGTTAGTACTGAAGTGTCAGTGTTGCCTATGTACAACTTTGCCATCTTAAGACTTATATCTCCTATATATATTTTATATGTAAGAAAGGATAATTTTTGCATTGAATTGATAGATGATTACCAGTTAAAATGTGTGACTACATTGTTGTCATAAAAGTACACTTTTAAAAATCTATCAAAATGTTTTAATTGTTTATGTTGCTTAATTGAATAACCTGGTTGAATAGCTAGTGTAAATTGATGTTGCTCCAACAGAAGATGGGAGCTGTGCTGTTTGATGAATTGACCTTGTTTTGAAATTACTTTCAGAAAAAATAGTTCATGTTTTGAAAAATTTCATACAAACCTACCTACCTACCTTCTTTTTAGGGGCAGTCCCAATTAAACAATTCAGAAGTTTTTTGCTATGCTTTAACTCTCGCTGGGACTTCTACTCCCCAACTTCATTCAGGATTAAACTGCAAAAAATATAACTTAATATAAGTCCTTCTTATACTGAGTGGAATTAACTCTATGAGGATTCCTGCTGAAATGATCCTGTTAAATAATATAACCTTCGCTATAAGCAGAGGAACTAGGGTTTGAGTCCCAATATGCAGCCTTTATTGTGTGCAGTGCAAGGTCATATGAACAAAAATGAAAAACAAAATGCTAGCTCAGTCACAGAGAAATATTCATACAGTGCAATGAACAGGACAAGAGATCTTGTGAGGAACAAATTCTTAAAGGTGACTTTTTTATTTCATTATAATGTATTAAGGTTGTACTTAGTTGCTTTACTCAAATTCCTTAATGTTTGCTATAGCTTGCTGGGAAGGTATAAATAACAGCATTTTATGTCCTGTAGTTGGATTACCAGCTAAAGACAGAATTCATGTTTATCGTCACTAGTTTATATGTTACAGAGATTATAAATAAAATTTTACATCTTTAAAGAGATCTTCAATAAATACAGTGGTAAGTATCTTGTAGGGAGTAGTACACAAGAATTATTGTTAGGGATAAACTTTATCTTTATCTAACTTAAAATGATCTTTCAAGTAAATTGTTCAGAATTCATTTTTAAATTAGATATTCTTTGGTAGTATTGGCAAGAAAAAATTGTCTGAAGCTGTTTAATACTAGGGTTTTTTTCTCCCTTGAACAAGTGTTTTGAAGAATTGCAAGAGTAGAATTTAATGATGTATTAGATATTACAGATATTGAGAGCAGCGAAGGGGAGACTGTGGAACTTATAAGGACAATTTCAACATCTGAAGCTAGGGGTCAAGCTGGCTGGTTGAATTTGAGACGGTTATGTTGAAATCTGTTTGCAAGGTAACAAGTCCTAATCTCTTAATTACTAGGCTAATGTCATTCAGTGTGGGTTTCTTCAGCAAATATTAACATATACTGGAATAACTTTTTATTCTTTGTATCCATCATGAACATTAAAAAAATTAATTCAGTCTTTAAAAGTAATATAATTTTTTAAGTGCTAGTGGCTACTTTTTCATGTGCAAATTTTGATTCGATTGAGATTATTCTTGAGTGGTGCTAGAACCAGATTAATCATTCTATTATTAGAAAATACAAGTTTAAATAAGATGATGTGCAAAATTAAAAGCTTTGGGATTTTTCTGGAATGAATAGATGAAAAAAGGTTTCACTTTGGGAAAATAGGGGAATAGATGAAAAAAACATTTCAGTCTAACTAAACTGTATTTGTACTTGTTTTTGATTTTCACTGTAGACAGAACTAGACAATTCAAAGTACCTGATGGCCAAAATCATTGTAGAACGCATTGTGAAATCAGTTCTCAGAAATTTGGTGTGATCACTGTGTTCATGTTAAGACATTTTGGGCTTTGTTGAGACATTCCTTGCAATGTTGGTATTATAGAGTTGAACTTGAGGCTGAATCTAGACACAAATTTATTTTTTATTCTCAGCAATCTAATCTAGATTAATTCTAAAGATGAATATTACCTGTTTTCACATGTAGTTATAGTGTTCTTTTTTCTGTCTAGATTGTTGGGGATGCACTTGATGCTTATCCAAAAACTCCACGTGTTGATAGCCTAAGAGAGTGGCCTGGGCAAATAGTTTTTTGTCTATCCCAAACTTTCTGGACAATGCAAGTACAGATGGCTATTAGAAATGGTCAAGGGTAAAAATATTTTAAATTTAAATTTATGTCAAATTGATACAATGTAGTAGTAAATCAGAGCTTTGAGAATAACTTTTTTTCAGTGAATAGTTGTTATATCAGTTGAAAGAACTTCTACAGTATTGTATTTTTAGATTCTCTGTGTTCATATATAGCTGAGCTATACTACAGACACAAAGTTAAATCTAATCTAATCTTTAATCCATATATGGAGCAATATTTAAGGCTGTGTAACATTTTATGCTTATTCTCAAACTGAAGCAATGACTCCTGTTAATAGTGGCTTTTTTGAGCAACTGCATTCTGACATGCAAAGAAAAATAGCTTCCGAGTGTCTTGGAAGAGGGAATTAAAGGAAGAAGAGGGCAATATCTGCTAATACAAGGAGCAAACCTTGCAACATGTCTAAAGATTTGAAAATATTTTCTTTTTCCAGTAATAAATGAAACCCTCCATTTCCTGGGAAAAGAAATAAGGCTTGTACTTACTGTACTATTTATCCTCAACTGGTGAAAGACTTTCAGGAAGGGAGACAGAAATTCTAGTTGTAGAGATTTTAGATTTTTTTAAAAAAAATCAAAGCCATACTCAGCTTAACAAGCCTGTAGTTAGTGACTAAAAGAGGAAGTTAGCAAGGGTTAAATTAATTTGCTTTTGGGAATGTTTGTTGGAGAATTCTGAGTCTAGATAAAAGCTCTTGTGCTGGTCTGTATCAAGCCTTTTCTGTACATGACCAGGCAGGAAAACCTGTCCTTCCTGTACCTCAAATTCTGTTGTAATGGGAATACTGCTCATCTGGCTTCAGGCCGAGAATCCTCATTCTGCAGTGGAAAGCAGCTTGTATGTAGTGAAGCATACAAGGTACTTGAAGGTACTTGAATCTCCTGGCAATCTGTCACAAATCTGGCAGGGAGAAGAACTCTGTCTTCCAGCCTTTGATGTTCTTTCTCTTTTCCATTCCTATGTTGTAAATCAAAGACACATGATAGACAGTCAGTGATCATGTCAGAGGCCAAAAGCACTGCATCCTGCCTAAAAAACTTCAGTATTTTCTGTTAAACCACTTGTTAATATGTTCACATATACATTCACATGCTGCCTTTCAACCATTTCTCAGTTAATTGTTTCCAAAAATAGCTGTTGTACATAAATCAAAGGTGCAAGTTTCATTTTGCTGCTTTTGAACTCTCTGTTTACTGCTTTATTCTCATAAATAAAAAGAATTCCTACTAAGCAGATGATTATTCAAATTTAATATTTGAAAAGTAACCAGTTGAGATGAGAGATCTCAAAAGCATTTCATAATCTATTAAGAATTACCAGTGCCACTGTGTTTGGAGAGGAACAGCAGACTAGCAGGGAGAAAAATCTAAAGCAGGTCTAGATAAGTTTTTCTTTATTCAAATGGAAGCTATTTCTCCACAGAAACGTGCTTTGGTGTGAATGTATTATCAAGGTTCATTCACACTTTTTGATTTCAATTCAGTAGGATACTTCATCACATTTAAGGACTGTCCTGATACAAGTGCTTTCCTTAATTGGGCCTTTCCTGTTTACCAGCAACTTATTAGCATGAAAGGAACTACTAATTGTTGTGTAAAAGAAATAACTAACTGAACACAGTTAGTTATTTCTTTTACACAACAATTAATAGGCTAACTGAACACAGACTATATCCAGAAGTCAATAAACTGAGAAATTATAGAAAAATGCATTTTCCTGTTAACTTTTTTGAATTGTAGGTGTGTTATTGTTTCTAACTGTTGTGAGACATAAAGCTGATTTTCTACTGTGACAGTGACCCTTAACCAGAGAAAATACATTGCACACATATAAGTAGACCCTTAAAACACTATGTAATATTTTCCTTTTTTTAATATGAAATGATGTAAAAAGATAAGGACTATTTCCTGTGTTGCAGGAATAAAGTAGTATATGTTGCTATGTTTGCAGATATGTGTCATTATGTTTTACATATGGCTTTGGAAAAGTAGGAAAAAAGCATCCCAAAGACAAAACCCTACTGAGCTACCAGTGAATGAAGGACATATAATACTACTATTATACTGAGATGAAACTTTATTTTTAATACAGAGAAATAAAAGTAATATAATAAGAAGTATAAGAAAAAATAATCATGCCTTAGATCAGACATTCAACTTCTTAACTTTTAAAAATTTTTGCAGGCACTAGAGGATTTTCTGGAACAGAATAATAGGTTGAGGACGTTGCCACCTTGGTGCGAGGAAAGCTGTCTAAGCAGAATCGAGTGACTGCAGGAGCACTTGTTGTGCTTGATGTTCATGCTAGGAATGTTCTTGCATCTCCAGTAAGCAAAAAAGTCAAAGATGAGAGTGACTTTGAATGGTTAAGTCAGCTTAGGTGCTACTGGGAGTTGAGTGATACCTCTCAATCCTATTAGAAGGTAATTTCTGTTCAGTTTTTCAATTTCTGCTTCCTTGCTCACGCAGAGAATGGTTACGCTACTGTGAGAATTTCTGCTGATAAGAGAATACCTGTAACAATCATTTCATGGATTGCTAACTAGAATGGCTGGTAGCCAGACATAAACAGTTTTTAATTAAAATTACTTTTTTTTCATCACTGCTGAGTCTCAGTACATTTGCTGAATTTGCAGGGAGTGTTACAGACAGAATTTGTTCACTCAAAGACTGTATTTTGGCTTCATGATTCTGCAGGATTAAGAATGTTATAGGGATGACAATTTTCAGTTAGAGATTTTAATCTGATTTACTGTCAATAGTATTTTATTTGTGCATTATATTTATTGGAAAAATAACAATGTTTTTACTGGATAGTGGTAGGATACAATATTTTACAGTTATCAGAACAAGATTTCCCGTAATACAAAAGACATTTCACATGAAATTTTAAAAAATAAATATATGTAGGGCTCATACATTACCAGAGTAATCAGATAGACCATAACTACAGCTATTGCTTCTGTTTACATTTTAGAAAGTCCATTAACTCTCTAAATAGCTAGACAAGACAGTTTTACTCAGCAATATGGTTAGTAGGATCTTTTTTTAGTTAACAGTTTAAAACCTGACCTTTTTGTTTGATACTTTAGTATCTATGAATTTGTAAATTTTTTTTTTAATTTGGGTTGTATTGAAACAAGTGCCTCAGAGCAATCATGAGTCTGCCATGCAGTTGTTTCTAACAGCATTGGGCCTCTTAGAACTTGGGAAACGGTGCTGAGTTGTGGGTGTGGATTTTTTTTTGCACATGGGTCATAGCCATGACCCATTAATAATACATACTTACATAACCAATTAAGTATGTTTTAAAAAAAAATTAAAATGCATTTGATTAAAGGGATCAGTCTATCAGTGCAATTTAACACCAAAAGAGAGATGAAATTACTTCTTACTAGTAGTCTACTTGCACAAACAAGCAGTAACAAAGATTAATTCATAAAAGATACCTGATGTTAAGGTGCAGAGGCTGATTCTCAGTTCTGAATTTTTCTAAGAAGGCATGGAAGCAACAATCAGTTGCAGTTAGCAAATGAAGTTAATTTCTTTTCGGAGTGTTGCGCAAAATTGGGACATTATTTGAATGTCTTTGGAAGCTTCTGGTAGTCATATCAAGCCCAAAGGTACTTTTTGTTATGCCTTGTGTTTGATGCACTGAAAAAGTGTGCTTATTTTTTATGGTGTTTCCTAATTTGAAACATCTGGAGCTCACATTCAGCAGTAAATCAGCACTGGGCAACTAAGGTCAGTGTGCCATTTGAAAGTTGAATCATGGCAGGCAGCGAATGCCTTCATTTGAGAGGACATTTTGTTACTCAGCTGAAAGATTAATAAATGCATACTTGCTAGACTTCTCAATTTGAGAACAGCTATTAACATTACACGTACCAACTGTTAGAAAATTATTTTAAACGGTGGACTTTAAAGGAGATCTGCAACTCACACCAACATGAGAGGGGATTCATGAATGATGAGGTTAATACTTGTCAAATTCTGTTTCAGTTGGGCATAGGGACATTCCAGCTTATTTTCATGCTTGTTTTTGGAAAGATGAACAATCTGTTTTCAGTTGCATGTTACTTCCAATATTCTCCTCACACAAATATCTGTACAAAAGCGTGAAATCCTCAAAAGTGGAAAATAGATCCTTGGATGTAAAAAGCTGCTAATTTTTTCTTTTATTTTGTGTACACAGTTGGCTGAATGTGTGTGTACAGTGTCTGTAAGTGTTACTTTATATATATATTATTATTTGTGTGTTTCTTATGGCACAAATCCATAATGGATTATAAACTATGATCAACCTGGACACAGTGTGGAAGCATAACCCTTCTTTGCTTTGAATCATTACTTGCTATTACAGTAAAAAATTGTAGAGACTGCATAAATCAGTCAATATCAACACAGAAACAAGTGATAAGGTAAAACCCAATTGTCTTCAGATAACAAGTTATGAAACAGAATATTGCATGAGCTACTGAGTTGCTGAGGTTTCCCTTCATCTTTCTTTGGTGTTTTTTTTTTTCCTAAAATAATAACCGTGGAGTGAAGGATCTATCTTTCAGATGTTTAATTTATTCTTTGACTTTATCTAGAGTGACAAAAATGTTGCATCCAAAAAGCTGAAGTTGAATCAAGATGAAGGAAAATTAAAGATTGCTATTGGTCTGAGAAAGAAAGAAGCAGACCTCAGGGAGGTTCAAGATAAATTGCTGTACTCCACCAGACATGGGAATCCGAGAAGGAAAGAGAAGACTGACTTGGAAATCAGGTATATGATACAAAAGGTGAACTATTGTTCTACTGATACCCAGAAAAGTTATTTAAAATTTGTTTCTCTGTCAAATGGTATTTTCCCTTTTAATTGCCAATATGTGGAACAAGTCCTACTTTTAGCTAACCATCATTTTATTTTGGTGTAATGGTCCTAAACTTATAAGTGGGCAAAGCATGAAAAATAAATTCTTTAGAGTAATAGAAAATATATATGTTATTAATTTACCAACTGATATCCCTCTCCTACATCCTCACTCATATCTGTTTTCTTGTGGGGAGATAAATTTTCAATGATTTTACTAAATGTTTGGATTCATCTATTAACTCGTAAGTTAGCACGTTATAAGTTTTTAAAGTTTATTTATGCCTTCTGTGCTAATGCAATTCTGAGACTGTTTTTGGTAAGCCCTATTCCTAACTGGTAATTAGGTGCTTATGTGTGCAAAAATTGGCAACATTTGGAAGAAAATTTTATTTTATTTATTTATTTATTTATTTTTAAGATTTGCAGTACATCAGATTTCTTTAAATAAATAGAATCGGAATTTGGAGTCTTAAGTCTTGTCTGTAGTTAGTCAGCTCTTTGTGTGTTTCTTCTGCATTCTGATATAGTTTGGAAGTTTGTTACTGTGGTGTAAATTGGCTGCTATGGTTACCAGAAGAGAGGATTGTAACCACAGCAAGAGTTGTCATCATTTTCCTCCTATCCCATGTCTGAAATGTGTCTGTACTAGATAGTAAAAAATTCTAACAAAGATGGATTAAATTCCTGTTAAAATACATTTTTTGTTAGATTATAAACCTAATTGGAAAGATGTCTTGTTTAAAAACTGATGACATAAATGCCAGTTATGGGTTCACAAGGATTTTTTTTGCAGAAAAGAATGTAACTACGTTTATGAGACAATGTTTTTGTTGTTTTTTTTCCAAGTGTTTTTGTTTCTCTTATAACATGTAGATAATTTCCTTGGCTGTTAATATTTTCTGTATTGTATACAGAGCTATTTTGAATTGCATGTTTTTATTTCCTTTAATTATTGCACAGTTTTCTTCCTTTATTTGGATGACACTGTAACTGAATAGACTTTGCTGTGCTGGTCCTGATAACAGTTTTTGTGCTTTAAATGTTTCCACTGTAATAAAAGGTGTTTTCTTTTTATTTGATGAAATTACTTAAGAAAAACACAGGAAAATAATCTTTGAATGTTTTTATTATTTGTAAAACGTCTCTAAAGTGATCATGCATATAATCAGAGTTTTTCTCCATTCTGAGGTTGACTTATGCAGCAAAAAACTACAATGAACAGAACAATTGATTGGTGGCCTTGGGGATGAGAAAATTCACTGGCATGAGACTGCTTTGGAGCTGGGAAGATAGTACATCAATTTGACTGGACATACACTTATTTCATCAGGAATTGAACCTTACCTAGGAACTTTTACATCCAGCTACAGACAAGTGGTACGTACAGTGATTTTGTCCCTCTTTTTTTAAAAAAAATAATAATTTTTCTTCTAATATAAATTTTATATTTTTAAATTATGCTTGCACAGAATTCATAAGTGGAACTTTTCTTCCTTAAAGCAACAGTAGTTCAATACCAGCAGAAGCTGTTATTGCCCCATCCCTGTAAGTGTTCAAGGCCAGGCTGGATGTGGCTCTGAGCAACCTGGTCTGGTGGAAGGTGTCCCTGCCCAAGGCAGAGAGATTGGAACCAGATGATCTTTAAGGCCCCTTCTAACCCAAGCCTTTCTATGATTCTATGATTTGTGCCTGTAACTCTTAGTGAAATAAACAGAAATTCAGAATACAAGAAGACTTTTACATGGCAGATGATTTTATATGTTGGAAATTTTGGATGTCAAAATTACCCTGACTTTGAGTGTTTTTGAACATCAAAACCTACCACTGAGCACAGCTGAAGAAACTGATGTCCATTTATTTTGAAAATCAGGTACAGGTTATCAAAAATTGCTAGAAATTAAGAGAGAAAAAAAATCAATGTCTATCATTTGAATGTAGAATTTAGATATTATCCTTATTTCCCCTTTACCTTCAATGTACTTACTTTGGCCATTTTTCTTTATTTTTGTACTGTTCTTTCAAACAATTATTTTCTTAAAAATATCCATTTTGGGATGTTATTATTTTAAAACTTTACAGACTGAGAGTTTATGGCAAGATTATTTATAGGGTAGATAAACAGTCTGCAGTTCCAAATAGAATTCCAAAGTACATAATTTTCAGTGTTCTCTTTTATGGTCACAACCTGAATTGTGTATAACATTGTGCCTGGGTAGGCAGGAATACTTCTGGTGAAACATCTTAAGGGGAGCTGAACTGTATTCTGGGCAAGTGTAGCTACAGATGCAAATGATATTCATAAAGGGCAGAGACATCCACATGACTCTTCACAAAAAATGGATGCATAATGGTTTCACTTGAAAAGTTTAGTGTACTTTCATTCTCTCTGACTGTGTAGTTTCTTTCTCTGTGCAACAGTAGGTATGGATTCCTGGTTGCTTTTCCTTACTCTCATGATTGGGCATGCACATACTACATAGATATCTCCACCAGAATTTGTTGGATAGCATAAACACTTTTGTGCAGTTCTTCGTTTCATCTGCTGCTATATTTCTTTTCCCCTGCAGTTTTCCTAAGAGAAAAAGTTACAACAGCTTTTGGAATATCAACTTTGTTTATGCAAACTGACGAATCCTTCATTCACCCCCTCTGTCCATGTCTCCAGACCTTTAATGTTTCCTTTAATGTTGCATTTTTGTCTCAGTTGTTTTTTTTTTTTCTGTAAGGCTTTGAGAGCTAAATTTTAGTTTAGAATACTACAGCATATTTCTCTGACCTTGTACATAGCTTTCACACAAGATTGTGCCTTTCATATCAATACGTTATTTCCATAAATTTTCCTTCTTTGGAAGCATTCTTCCTAGTGAAATATGCTTTTGATTTACATATTTCAAGGTGTGTGTCTTCATTATTATTACATATCATACAAAACCTATAGTCTACACAAATGCAGTGAGTTAGATGATAAAGAGAATTACGAAAAGCTATTGAAATGTTTGTTGTTAAATGTGGCCAAGTCCTGACAAATGCAAATTATGTGTGTCCTAAGGGTTAAATAATGAAGCTATTTTTTCCAATAGAACATATGCATTTGTCCTACACTGATTTCATAGCATAGAAGACTCCTGCTGAAAGGGTAAATAAAATCATGCCAAGGCTCTGAATAAATAAACTTATATTTCAAATATAGAAATTACATACAAAGGCATGTTTAGAGATTTAATACAGAAGAATGAGTTTCTTTTCATTTGAAGGTTGTGATCTTGTATATAGCAACTGTTATGGGAAATGGGTTCAAAAATACATTTTAATTAGTTTGAAAGTTTTGTGAATAGACAGAACTTCATTTAATATTTGTTTTCTTCTTATTTAGATGCAAAATAGAGACTGAGTATTGCTGTGTAAAACAAAAGACATTCCTTGTTCTGATGATTTTTCCTGAACAAATAACCTGGGAGAATCAGTGGAGATCAGAGCTTGGAATAGCGCTGGACTACCTTCTGACATGTTTCTATTGATAATGGCATCATTGTCTATAAGTAAAAACAAACAAGAAAGCAAACCCCAATAAGTAATTTTTTTATAGACAGTTTTCTACTGTATATCCAGTTTAATGACAACATTATTAAATTATTGTAATGTTTAAATCTATAAGGAATACTAATAATACTTTTAAATTTTTAATGTAAAGGTTTTTTATCTGTGAATTCACTCCCTCCTTTCAAACTCCTATGGATTCCTAAAATGATACTTTCCCCTGTCCCCTGCACCCCCCACTCCCTTATTTTTTTTTTTTTTTGTGCTTTTTGGTTTTGTTTTGCTTTAACAAACTTGCTGCATCCTGGATTCAGGTTAAGACATCTTAAAATGCTTCAGGAATAGAATTCTTAACACTATTCTTGATATGGAAATAGTAGATATGGAAATAATTCTCCTTTCAAAATCTAAAGACTTTTAAAGAAATATGCTGACATCAGCTGCTACCATGAAGTATCTACAGATAATGTCTTGATTACTTCTCTTTAAATAGTTTTCCAGTTTATGCTGCCACCTGGTATGAGATTTAAACATTCTGGCTTGTAACATATTAAGTGTGCAAAGCCCTGACATTTTGGAAGTGTTGGTTTGTACACCGATGAGCTGAATCATCATTTACTAGGGCACAGTAACAAAACAACAACAAAATACTCATGTGTATTAGTAAGGTGCAAGGGAGGTCCTAAAAACTAGAATGGAGAGGATTTCTAGTCTCCTTTCTTACAGAGGATGATCCCAACCATATGTTCTTGCCAGTTTTTTCCTCTTTTTCTTGCATTTTATTCTATGTACTTGTAAACTGTATCAACAGGAAGAAGTGAGGTAGGCCTTTCCTGCAATAACCTCTGATTTCAGAAATGCGTTGGTATATATCCATGTCACAATCAGTGCAAACATCAGTGATTTGTCTGACAGTGTACAGCAAGGGAACTGACCATCTGAATGTTCTATCATCTAGAAATACCCACAGCTCAGCTGCAATTAGCCTTACATTAATATGCCTACCGATGACTGAGATATGGATGGCACCAACAGCTTTGTTGGATACCAACCTGGAGGCTTGAGGAAAATTCTCTCTCACATTTCAAAATCAAGTCCTGTCATTATTTAGTTTTAAAATGCTGAGCTTTGTGGCCACGCAGAAGCAGTTAAGATTTTCATTTTGACTTGTGTTTGTTATGACCGTGAACAAAGAACCTCTCAGTTCTGTCCAGTGTGCTTGCCAATGTACTGCTACTAACTTGTAGCTTTTGTTCTTAGCACAGCTGAGGCAGAACTGACCGTGGAACAGTGTTGTTTTAACTGCTTTCCCTCTTGTGATGGCTACCCATGTCCTTCACATCTGTTCATTCTATTTCTTGCATAATGTATTCTTACAATTGTTTTCCATAACTAGGTTAATGGTCATCGAGTGTATGATAAGATGTACCTACCATTTATGAATCGTTTTACAGTATGCTACTGCACAAACTTACCAATAAAAATCTTTAATTTTCACTACTATTTACATGAAAATTGTCCTCACTGTTTGAGGAGTCTGATGTTGGATAGTGCTGTGGCTGAATACCTCTTTTATTGTAGAGTGAATGGTAGGTTTCACACATAACCAAAATTGTATATTACAGGTTCACATTTGGAAGTAGAGATGCGTGGATAACACTTCAGCTCTGGCAACCGGATAGGTGACAAAGTGCAAAATTAAACAGGTAAGACAAAAATAAGGCCCTAGCTAAAGAACCTCAATGTATGTTCATTTGACATTCAAAATTAGCATTGACTGTATTTCTGGAAGTAAAATGGCTTATTGAAGTTAGAGGATATATGCTGGGATTATGATTGTATATGTAACAGTTTTCAAGTAATTACTGTATTAACCATTCAATCACTCTGGCTAAACTGTCAAC